TGCCTTCTTCTTATCCTTAAGAGCTTAATTTAAGATTTACACTTTTTAAAAGCTCTATATTTAAATTTGTATGCTTAGCATATAGTATATATCTATATATTCTCTTCTCAGTCCCTTTCTACTTTGCAATATCTGCAAAAAATACTTCAAAAATGTCTATACATTTTTTATGGTAAATTATGCCATGCACATTACCTGTATGCATCCGGTTTGTCAGGAACTTTGCATATATTATGTTATTTGATCCCACGGAAAAGTGATTTAATAGCCCCAAAATAACCTTACTCAAATTCAGGGCATTAACTGGTAGAGAAATTGTAATAAACATTATGAACAGTGAAAATGAATAAGGCATTGGTGACAGCTAACAACAGTAGTAATATGAATTAGTAGAAATTTGTCACGGTCATCAAATGAATATTTAGTCTTGCAGTATAATAAAGAGTAGCCAGTTTAGAAGTGATCACAAAAAAATGAATAACTTGTATTGTGCATTCTGTGCAGATGTATCAAAGGCATTATTTGCTATTTAGGTTCACTAATTAACTGTTCGTATAAATTACACACAATGTAAGTTGATGGAAGATGAAGAGATAATTTTGCTCGTAATGTCTGTTTTACCATGAGGTTTGTGTGAATAATGTTGGAGTTTTGTTCCATGCAAAAATGTAGCACACATCAATTTTACACTGCCTGCAATGGTATTTGACTTGGTTTCAATACAATACATCATACTCTAATTTTTGTTATTCTTCAAAATTGATTAAAAATGTAATGCAATACAGATGCGCAATTCAACATAAAGCGTAAATACAGGTTTTCTTATGCAAAGATGAAGAAAAATAACAATGTGAACAATACCTTACAAACAACAAACAATAGCAACAAATACTGTCAGGAGAGTAGCAAAAGACCTCTCGGACCCGGGTATGATGTGTGTTCGCGAACGGCAAAACTTGGGTATTGATAGGATAATAACAAAATAATTTTAGAACAGGCTGAGGAGCAGAGTATGAAAAGGGCAAAGGGATAAAAAAAGAGAGATACAAATATATACCTCTATAGCCATTATGGAATTTGTGGCCAGTGCGCATTTAGAGGGGGGCAATGTCAAGGAGGTAGGTTAGAGCGGATTATTGGGTTGAGAGTTTGGCAATTGGCCCTGAGCCATTGGATCAGGAGGACAGCCACCAAAGACCAGGTAGTAGTGTATGCCTAATTTCTACTTGCTGCTGACAATATTAACTCTTCATTTGACCTAATCTCTTCTACTCTTTTAATACAGTCTCGAACCATAGGCACGAGTGTAGTAAAAATCACTTGTATGTCCCTCCAAAAGGGCTGTATGACCACTATGTATGAAATAAAATCCAGGAGGTTGTGGTGGTGAGATCTGTCAGTGTGAGTAGACTACTGTTAATGTAAGCATCTTTCCCTTTGCAGGGATTGGATAAGCCCAGATAAGATAATAATTGCTGAGAAGAGGCTGGGGAAAGGGCCAGGTTTTGCATTACAGGGAACAGGGGAGACACAGAGGAAGATAGTCCACTTGGTCCTGACGTCCGTCTCCAAATGGATAGCACATTGGGTGTGGTTGGGTGATTGCATGTTTTTATAGCTTTAGTGTTCAATGGAAGCTAGTTTATAAACAATTCTAATTTAGTGAATCAAAGTGAGTGTAAGTGGCACAGGCAGCAGCAGCTATGCAAGAGGATTTTTTATTTATTTGAATTCATAGGATAATGAGGGGGTCAGACTGTTTTTATCTCACTTGTTTCTGTCAACTACTGGCACTATCTTGACTCCCCCCCTCTGAATGGTGGTGTTAGGAGTAGTAGTAGGGGGACTACTACTGGTAGTTGGTTGTGTCAAATATTAAACAGTACCAGTGCACTTGCTGCCTGCTCTAGTACTTTTTAAAATAATACAGACTTGTGGTGTCTTTGTACATGTTGGTCACCCTTCTCTCGAATGCACAGTGAGCTGCCTTCTTATATATCAACAAAAATGAATATCAAATGTTTGATTCACCACTTATATAAGAAGTTCCTCTACTTCTTCTGTTTGATCCATGTGTATAGGGGCATCTTGCTTCTCTTCAAGGTCCAGTTGCTTCCTGACATAATCATACTATCCTCTTCTAATTCCTCTAGTTCATATTCATAGTCGAGTAGCTCCTGGGTAAAAGGAAAAAATACTCAGTATCACCAGATTCATTACCGCCAAAACCTACAAGACCAGACATTGGGGACACTACTTTGGTACTCTGCTCTACCACTTCGGTAAAGATTGTCTCTGAATTTGCCCACAAAGTATGCTCTGCAGAGCTTTCCCTTAGTTGGTTAATGGGGGGCAACAAGAAGGTATAACCCTTGAACTAGTCTTGGTAGAAGGAGTCTCATACCAGGATCAATGACCCAGGCTATCTATCTCCCACTCAAAGTTAATGTAAGTCGCACTGGCAGAGGTTAGGCAGGCAGAGAACTTAACCCTTTTCAGTCTCACAATAGGATCTATGATGCATGCTATCTCCTACTCTCACACAGGCACAGCAAGGGTAAAGCCAGGCAAGCCCTGTGTGCAAGTTTGTCTTCCTGATGTTAAAGTGTCTAGAAGAATCCAACTTGAAAATACAGTTCTTATTGTTCATCTCTTGATTGGACAAGACACACAGCCCAAATCATTGGGCAGACCTTTTGTCCAACATGGTAATCAAAGCTGCCTATTGGCCCTCCCTTCAAAAAGCATTGCCTTGCTCTTCATCCCATCACATTTTTTAGTACCACATGCAGAACTCCTGAAGCATCCATATATGTTTGAGCATTGCTTGGTTTTAGGTCTCGAGGCGACCGATATTTTGCAGTGCACTGTTTTTCCACCATGTGATTCACGGATCATGTGAGAAGAAGTAATCGACAGAGGTGGAAAAAAGGAGGAGCATTAAAAATAAAATCTATATTTATATATTTACATATTATATATTCATTAAATACCTTTTTCTCTATTGGTCACTGCTCATTTCATATATGAATAAAATCAACATTTATTGTCTGTCCCCTAACTATCATCTTATTTTCCATCTGTAATATTTTTGGAGAGCATGATGGATGGAAGGCAGAATCACAAAAAGAAAAGAAACAGCTTACATAGTTACATAGGCTGAAAAGAGACACGTGTCCATCAGGCTCAGCCTTTCTCACATCTGTTTTTTGCTTTTAATCCAAAAGAAGAAAAAAATAAATAAACAGTTTGAATCAATTCCAATTTGCAGCAAACTAGGAAAAAAATCCTTCTTGACCCCAGAATGGCAATCAGATTTATCCTTGGATCAAGAAACTATTACCCTACAACAGAAAAATGATATAATTGAATATGATGCTTTTGCAAGTATGCATCTAGTTGCTGTTTAAACATCTGTACAGACTCTGTAAAACCACTTATTTAGGCAGAGAATTGTTCTCATATAAATGCAACAATTCCACCTAGCACCAGTGAATTGTGACAATATAAAAAAAAATCAAGATTTAACTTATAAGTAGACAGCCTCCCAGGGTTACCTCCTAGGAGGTAACCAACCAAAGCAGAAATGTATGAAACAGAACATTTTAGGGATCCTGCTGGTGTACCTAAAACATATATATAACATAGTGCAATAATGCCTGATACAGACAAAATGCCGATATACAATTGCACTTACAAGCTGGAGATGATAAAAACGCCTGATGGGTGCCACGCACGATTTAAATAGGGGGCTAGAGCTCCTACTTTGGATTTGTCACCAGATGGGGCTCTTGTATCTTTCAGCTCACCAAACATCAATTCAGAGATTTCTTCAAAAGGATATTTATTGGCAAATAATATTACAAAAGAGGTGAATTGTACAAATGTGCTAAAAATGCTGGTCTTATGCGTTTCGTTCTCAAGTGAGAACTTCCTCAGGGACCCATATGTAGAAAAGCAATAACAATGTTACAATACAATCTCACAGCCTAAGTTACCCTTTCCCACAGTTCCCTTTATATAGGACTAACCTCCAACAAGTCATTGGTGGAGTGGTGGGGTCTTCTTCTTATACCTCCAGATTGGTTGATGTCTCTCTTCTCCCAGATTTTTTTATTTGCTGTTAATTCGATTCTAATTTGAGAATTGTTCTTACTGTAAAAAAACTTTCCTTTGACTTAGACGAAATCTTCTTTCTTCCAGACTAAACCCTGACCTTGTGTCGTATGTACAGGGAGTGCAGAATTATTAGGCAAGTTGTATTTTTGAGGATTAATTTTATTATTGAACAACAACCATGTTCTCAATGAACCCAAAAAACTCATTAATATCAAAGCTGAATATTTTTGGAAGTAGTTTTTAGTTTGTTTTTAGTTATAGCTATGTTAGGGGGATATCTGTGTGTGCAGGTGACTATTACTGTGCATAATTATTAGGCAACTTAACAAAAAACAAATATATACCCATTTCAATTATTTATTATTACCAGTGAAACCAATATAACATCTCAACATTCACAAATATACATTTCTGACATTCAAAAACAAAACAAAAACAAATCAGTGACCAATATAGCCACCTTTCTTTGCAAGGACACTCAAAAGCCTGCCATCCATGGATTCTGTCAGTGTTTTGATCTATTCACCATCAACATTGCGTGCAGCAGCAACCACAGCCTCCCAGACACTGTTCAGAGAGGTGTACTGTTTTCCCTCCTTGTAAATCTCACATTTGATGATGGACCACAGGTTCTCAATGGGGTTCAGATCAGGTGAACAAGGAGGCCATGTCATTAGATTTTCTTCTTTTATACCCTTTCTTGCCAGCCACGCTGTGGAGTACTTGGACGCGTGTGATGGAGCATTGTCCTGCATGAAAATCATGTTTTTCTTGAAGGATGCAGACTTCTTCCTGTACCACTGCTTGAAGAAGGTGTCTTCCAGGAACTGGCAGTAGGACTGGGAGTTGAGCTTGACTCCATCCTCAACCCGAAAAGGCCCCACAAGCTCATCTTTGATGATACCAGCCCAAACCAGTACTCCACCTCCACCTTGCTGGCGTCTGAGTCGGACTGGAGCTCTCTGCCCTTTACCAATCCAGCCACGGGCCCATCCATCTGGCCCATCAAGACTCACTCTCATTTCATCAGTCCATAAAACCTTAGAAAAATCAGTCTTGAGATATTTCTTGGCCCAGTCTTGACGTTTCAGCTTGTGTGTCTTGTTCAGTGGTGGTCGTCTTTCAGCCTTTCTTACCTTGGCCATGTCTCTGAGTATTGCACACCTTGTGCTTTTGGGCACTCCAGTGATGTTGCAGCTCTGAAATATGGCCAAACTGGTGGCAAGTGGCATCGTGGCAGCTGCACGCTTGACTTTTCTCAGTTCATGGGCAGTTATTTTGCGCCTTGGTTTTTCCACACGCTTCTTGCGACCCTGTTGACTATTTTGAATGAAACGCTTGATTGTTCGATGATCACGCTTCAGAAGCTTTGCAATTTTAAGAGTGCTGCATCCCTCTGCAAGATATCTCACTATTTTTGACTTTTCTGAGCCTGTCAAGTCCTTCTTTTGACCCATTTTGCCAAAGGAAAGGAAGTTGCCTAATAATTATGCACACCTGATATAGGGTGTTGATGTCATTAGACCACACCCCTTCTCATTACAGAGATGCACATCACCTAATATGCTTAATTGGTAGTAGGCTTTCGAGCCTATACAGCTTGGAGACAACATGCATAAAGAGGATGATGTGGTCAAAATACTCATTTGCCTAATAATTCTGCACTCCCTGTATAGTCTTGTTTGTGAATAGATTTCATTCCTTATTTAATTTCTTTCGTGTTTCAGTCACATAGCTTTGGATTTCAGAGATTCAGACAACTTGCTGATAGTCCAATATTTGGCTAATTATGATTTTTTTTTTTTTTTTTGCACAAGTCTAGAGTATATTTATTTTCATATTTTTGTATGTGTAATGTATTTATTTGGAATTTAGCATAATGAATAGCTGGTCTTTGCACTAATAATGGCAAAACACTTAGTCCTCTCATTTTACATTAGTGCTGAGATGATGGACATTTATCGACCCTACCCGTTGCAAGTTTTTTGCTACAGACAAAGGTTTATGGAATACATTTGTTTTTTTGCAAGAAATGCCATATAACGCAAGAAATGCAATGAACATCTACAAAAGAGACTGCACAGGATTATTCACTAAACATTGGATTTTGTCTGGATGAACAAAATCCTCGAAATTTACTTTAATCAGACCACAATGGCAATTCCCATAATTATAAAAGCCTATTACAGTCAGAATTTGGTCAGTCCAAGCCAATCTGCAGAACTTGCCCAGATGCATTTGGTGTCTGTATTTAAATTGGTACTTTTACATCCAAATAGATACAAAGTAGATAATTTTAAAGATAAATTATATTGGTGGATGGCCAGCGCCCGCTAGTCAACCAGCACATTAAAAATAGTAAAGCAAATTGTTGCGGACCACCTGGTACCCCACCTGGGTACCTCCGCCAAACTCACTTCCTAGTTATCACCGAGCTACCATAAGCACTTCCAGCCCCTACCCACCACAGGGGTCTCGCCTTCTCTTCCCACCCTGGAACAGGGTCCTGGCTCCATCTCCCAGTGGTTAGAGCTCTCCTTGCAAAGAGTATTGCAGGTATAGCAAGAAATAGAGCAGTATAGCATCCCCCTCCTCCCCCCACACTAGCTGAGACTTAATGCTGGGAAGTGACCTGTTTAATGGAAGCACAGTCACAGAATTTATACAAACAGTAAACTACTTCCCTGAGCCTGAGAGATAATTAAGTCAGGAACTGTACAAACAAAAGTACCCCCAAAATCCATGGAAACCCCACCAGAGTCATATCCTCGGATACCCCCGATCTGAGCGACCAATATATCCAAATCACTCCAATCGGATTTTCCATGGAAGTCAACTTTTGACCTTTTGAACCCTTAAGTATAAATCATTATTAAAGTGTCAGTGGGGTTAACAAGCATGCAGGTGGTCCTCAGTTTGTGGGTTTGTTCGGTTCCAGAACCATAAAGGGAAATGCCACGAACAAAGTCTTTTAACATTTGTTTTACATGGCCCATAGTCTTTGGGCATAAGGCTAGCCAGCAGGCTCCTTCAGGAGCTCATGGCAGAGGCATCTTTGCCACACATCTCTCCCCCAAGTCTGTACCTGAGTTATTTGAGAAGCCCACCCAAAAGCAACTTGCTGACCAGGTAGCCTCCTGTGCCATGCTTTACCCATGTAGGTCCACGTTGCAGTGGTTGTAGCATCTGTCCTCCCTGGTGTCTCCAGATACCAGGCACTGCCGCTGGGGAGTGAGACCGTGGTCTCCACTCCCTGTAGGGGACACTGCTGCTGGGGAGTGAAACTGATTGTCTCCACTCCAAGTGATGTTTGCTGCTGTTGGTGAGAGGGAGCAGTTGTCTCCTCTCCCTGTAACTCCTTCTGTGGTTGGGGAGAGGGACCGTTTGTCTCCTCTCCTTGCAGGACACACTTCTGCTGGGGAGTGAGGCCAGTTGTCTCTACTCCCTGCAAGGTACACTGCCACTGGGGAGAGGGACCGGTTGTCTTGACTCCCAGTTACTCCAAGGAACACTGCCGCTGTTGAGTGAGGCCGGTTGTCTTGACTCCCAGTTACTCCAGCTGTGCTTGGGGAGAGGGACCGGTTGTCTCCTCTCCCTAGAGGATACACTACCACTGGGGCGTGAGCCCGGTTGTCTCTACTCCCAGTAACTCCAGCTGTGGTTGGGGAGAGGGACCTGTTGTCTTCTCTAGCTGCAGGATACACTGCCACTGGGGAGTGAAACCGGTTGTCTCCACTCCCTGCAAGGTACACTGCCGCTGGGGAGTAAGACCGGTTGTCTCTACTCCAAGTAACTCCAGCTATGGTTGGGGAGAGGGACTGGTTGTCTCCTCTCCCTGCAGGATACACTGCTGCTGAACCGAACTGAACAGGCATTGGTAGCTCTGCTCCAGCTCCCATTGCATGGTGGCCAGATGGATCAGGTCAGGTCCCAGGTCGTCAGCTCTAGGAAGATCCATCAGGGCTTCCCTGATACTGTGGATGTCCCAGAGCTGAAACTAAGCCAGAAAATGTCCTTCTCAACAATAGGCCAGTGTCATTATAGTCCTCACCCTCTGGCACACTATCGTTAGCCACCCATTGGTCGCGCCGGGCTGCATGCCACTCCAGTGCCCTGTAAGCCTCGTCCAGCCACAGCTCCTTTCAGATCAGATTCTCAAGCTTTGTCACCCACTCCTCTAGAGGCTACTCTCCTAGAAGAGGCATCCGCAGAGCCATGTGTCCCTGCACCCGCTGCTCCTGGCTTGGGAGGTTCTCTTTCTGCAGAACCTGAAAATCCTCCAGGGCCTCGTACCAGAGCTCCTTCTGAGTGGCATCCTTCCAATCTGGTATGACCTCTTCTGGGACAGGACCATCCTCTCAGGTCAAGTAGATCTGTAGTCTCCAGAGGAACTCCTCCTCATGTGGGGACGCTGCCCAGGGGCTAGCTTGCTCCGAGTTCCTCTGCAGACATGTATGCTGAAAGGATGATAGCGCTATTAGTAACCCATACTGTATTCCGGTGTCCCCGTGATGCTTCTCCACTTGCTAGGAAGCCATCTCACCATTGCCACCAGATATGGCGCACCGCCTGGTACCCCACCTAGGTACCTCCGCCAAACGTGCTTCCTAGTTTTTTGGATCCATCAGTGTGATACACATAATGACTTCTTACAGCAACATTGACTCTTTTGTTGGTAATTTTCATAAAGATATGTAGTGTATAGAATCTGTATTCTATTTATTAATACCCTATCATCCATGTTTTGCTCTTTATAATATGCCTCCCATCAGCATAATATTTTAGGACCATTATATCCTCTTTGAAGGACTACTAATATTATGTATTATTGAAGTAGGATGGAGAATTCCTACTAATGTGTGGAAGCAGCTTTAAATGATATTAAGCACTTTATATTATGGTAAGCGCCGTAAAGCACAGAACTGTCACGGTTCTCACCATGCCATACAGGCGGACAGATGTGGCGTTCCATTAGTGCCCAACAGGGCATTTGAGCCTGGTTACTTTGCTGTCCTAATCCTGCTGTATTTCCTCTGAGCCACAATTCAGCTCATGTATGAGCCTGAAGTCCGATCTTGCCTTATCTCCAGTACTAGGGGGCTGGACTTTACCTGTTGCTGCTCCTGTCAATCTCAGTCCGTCTGAAGCAGATGCCTAATTAGCCAGATATTGTCACGGGTAGCGGTCCGGTGCCCGGGACCCAGACACTGCCCGGCCGCGGTGCGAGGACCAGGACCCAATATGCCTGATGTTCAGAGTAGGATTCACAGTGTGGAGGTGGATTAGCAGGGTCTGGAGGTGGAGGTGGAATAGGGAGACTCTGCACCAGGGATGTATCCAGTACTGAAGCAAGGCAGGACTAGAGATAGGCACCATACACGAAAACAAGACAGAACTAGGAGAACAGGGCAAGACTAGAGATGGGCACCATACATGAAAACAAGACAAAACTAGGAGAACAAGGCAAGACTAGAGATAGGCACCATGCATGAAAACAAGACAAAACTAGGAGAACACAGAACCAGAGCAGGACAGAAAGCAGAACCCAGAACATGTACACAAGACATGAGGAAAACAAGAACATAACATAGGCATGACTGGACAGGACTGTACATGGACTGGGATTACAAAATAAAATAAAACAAGAAATACAAGGTAAAACAAGAGGAGACATAACTAAGCAACCCCAATGTACCCCATATCTGGCAGGTCCTACACTGCCTAATGTATGCTAAAACAACCATACTAAACCACAATATAGCACCCACCTCCAAGAAAGGGCAGAGACTCGAAACACTGCTGCAGGTCCAGGCTGAAACAAAAGGAAAGTGGAAAACAAACAGTTGTGGCAACATAAAACAAACATTTAAGTGAATCCAAGAGACTGGGAAATCCAGGGACAGAATATAAGAATGAACCCAGAAACCCAGCAACAAAGAAAACCAGATATAGACCAGAAAAACCAAGCAAGGACAGCAAAAAGAGTACTGGATATCAGAAGCCATTGCCAGAATGATCCGCAGCGAGGAACAGGATGTGACAGATATAAGACACTGCCTCTCCCAGAGGGCAGTATACGGTCATTGACTATGGTGATCATATGTAGTTCCTGTTTTCTTGTCTCCTGAACTTGTTCTCCAGATTGAACCTGGCTTCTGAACTTGGCTCCACTCTCCATTTATCCTTACCTCTGGTTTCACAAGGATGTCCACCAAAATTAATTAGCTATTACAGCATAGGTTTTATGTATGACTGGATGACCAGCGATCTTGCTGTCATGAAAACAAATAAGTATCTCTCTCTGGTTTT